TGTGCCAAAGGGAGTGAAAATAAGGTGTACAAGTTAAGAAAGTCTCTCTATGGTTTAAAACAAACTCCTAGGGCGTGGTTCAGTAAATTTCATATGGTGGTCCAACAAGTAGGATTCAAACAATGTCAGTTTGATCACACTCTCTTTGTGAAGAAATGTCAAAAACAAGTGTTGTAACTGATAGTGTATGTGGATGATATCATCATTACAAGAAACTGGAGCTCAGAAATACAAAGGTTGAAGACGTTCCTAGCCTCCAAATTTGAAGTGAAAGATCATGGTCCTGTAAAGTATTTTCTTGGAATTGAAGTTGCCCGCTCAAAAATGGACATCTTTATTTCTCAAAGGAAATATGAAATTGATCTATTACAAGACACAGGCAAGTTAGGAGCAAAGCCAGCAAATACTCCTATTGATGTAGATCATAAATTGGGTGATTGTGATGGTGAATCTCTGAAAGATGTGAAACAGTTTCAAATGTTAGTGGGAATGTTGCTCTATTTGTCCATGACACGTCCAGACATTGCTTATTCAGTTGGGGTCCTAAGCCAATTTATGCATTCCCCTAAGAGACCATACATGGAGGCAGCAGATATGATTCTTAGGTATTTGAAGAAATATCCAGGAATATGATTGCTATTCAGTAAACATAATCATTTGAATGTGAAAGTCTATACAGATGCTGATTGGGCAAGTGTTGTGGATGATAGAAAGTCCACAAGTGGATACTACACATTTGTGGGAGGAAATCTAATGGCATGGAGAAGCAAAAAACAAAGTGTAGTTACAAGGTCAAATGTTGAAGCGGAGTATAGAACTATGACACATGGGGTTGCTAAAGTACTTTGGTTGAAGAATCTTCTAGAGGAACTTGGGATAATTGTTCACAATCCTATCTCTTTACTATGACAATAAGGTAGCTATAAATATTGCTAACAATCCTGTCATATACGATAGGGCCAAACATATTGAAGTGGACAAGCACTTCATAAGAGAAAAATTGGAGAAATGAGAAATTTGTATTCCTTATATCAACTCCAATGAGCAACTAGCTGATGTTTTCACAAAAGGACTTCCATACTTGCGGCATAGTGAGTTGTGTGACAAGTTGGGCATGATAGATATATTCAGACCAACTTGAGGGGTGTTGTTAGAATTATTATTATTTTTTATTTATTTCTACTGTTATAGTATTGGCAGTCTAGGATGCTGTCAGCATATTTTTTTTCTTTGTTTAAGTTCTTATTATTAGGGTGGGCCAGTAGGGGCATGCTGATAGTTTCTGTTTGTTTTATTTTATTTTACATCATATTAATACAAATAGGAAGTTGAGAACCGCCAGCTTCAGTTTTTTTGACTCTCAAACACTTTCTTCTCTTCTCTTCTCTTCTCTTCGTATCTCTCTTTTCTCCTCTCCTCTCTCTCTTCTCCCTCTTCTGGAAAGAAAATATTCTTATATTGTTGCTTGTCACTTAAGCTTACTCGACACATTCGGGTGCAGCACAGAACCCCAGTTACTTGGGGGTTGAATTCCACCTGGCAGCACCTGCACTAGTGTCACAGGTGACTCCTTCGTCACGCCATCAAGCACCTTCAGTGAGCCATCAGAGTACCAACCGCGTGCCTTCATGGTGTCAACATGTGTGTCATGGGTGGGCTCTGCATGTATTTTGTAAGGGGGACCGCCAATGGCGTTATTGTAATTACTTAGTATGAATTTTCGTCCTTTTGATGTTTCCTATTGCCACTCCCCCAAAAGCTTAACGTACTCTTTGAGGGGAGGTAGGTAGTCGAGTGAGCTCATAAGCATGTAAGGTTAAGCACGAGATCCCCTAGACACTGTACTGTGTGTGTTTGCTTTGTTTCGTAGGCTTACTCGCCCATTTCGAGTGCCGCATGGGGCCCCAACGATTACCCCCGTGATAGTTGGTATCAGAGCAGGAGCTCCTACACACAGTCTGGACCTTGTCTTCGTCCCTACATCAACTCAATGAAGAGCAATCGGGGCATTGCCGATGACATACCGCATGGGCGGCTTCAAGCCCACGACACTGATAATGCTCCACTTGACGAACCTACCAAGACACAAGCCCCAAAGGGGCATACAACTAAAGCTAGCAAGCACGAAAAATCAGTCGACCAACTAGCTTCTGTGGACATGCGCCTCCTACGTTGCGAGGTAACAGTGGGAGAAACCCGAGATCAGGTTGATGAACTTCACCTCAACCTAGAGACGGTTGAGAATGCAGTGGTGGAACTAGAAGGACGTTTCAATGGCGCCTTCAGAGACATGCACACCACCATACAGAATTCGGGAGCTGGGCCTTCCCAAAGYWGCCTMCARGGCTTGMTAGACARATTYCAAGCGCAATTGGATGAGATGAGAGATGAGDTGACTCTCCTAAAGAGGGCAGTGGCCAACGCACCTAGCACTCCCTCCACCCTAGCTTCCATGAATATCAAGATCCGAGAGCCAACACCTTACTCGGGTGCTCAGGATGCTAGGGAGCTTGACAACTTCTTGTGGCAATTGGAGCAATATTTCTCTGCCACTGGCATCATTGACAACCAAACTCAGGTACGTGCAGTTGCTATGTATTTGACTGATATCGCAATGTTATGGTGGCGTAGGTGTTGCCAAGACATTGAACGTGGAACCCGCACCATCGACACTTGGGTGGGATTCAAGCGTGAGATCAAGCGGCAGTTCTACCCAGAAAATGTAGAGTACTTGGCGTGCCGAAGAATGAAGAATCTCAGACATCAAGAATCACTACATGACTATGTCAAGGAGTTTTCGGCCTTGATGCTAGAGATCACTGACATGCTAGACAAGGATCTTCTGTTCAATTTTATGGACGGCCTCAAGCCATGGGCCGAGCTCGAACTCCAGCGACGCGGGATTGAGGACCTCGCCACCACCATGGCCGTAGCCGAGCAGCTTGTTGATCTGAGAACACCTAAGGAAGATGTGCAAAGATCATCCAGCCCAGGTACCATGAGTCTGGGTGGGGGAGATCCACAATCAACCTCTACAATGGAGAAGTCAGTGCCCGTGGACAAGCCCTACAATTACCAACAAGGGAAGAAGCCACAAGGAGGCCCAAGCTATCAGGGCCACCAATCCACTAGGAGACCTCCTCCTGCGCCTTGTTACCTTTGCAACGGGAAGCATTGGACGAGTGATTGTCCAACCCGAAAGAAAATAACTGCCCTCATCGCCAAACTCAGCGATAGTGAAGAGAGCGATGACGAAAAACCCACAGCGGCGCCAAGAGTAGGCGCCCTCCAACTCATCAATGCCACAAGGGGCTGAATTATGTAGACATCACCCTCGGCGGGAGGCCGACCCAAGCCTTGGTGGACACTGGAGCCACCCACAACTTCATTTCGCTTGCAGAGGCAAAGCGACTCGGCTTGACCACCACCAAACAAACTGGGTGGGTCAAGGCTGTCAACTCCGGGGCCAAAGCACGGCCCATGGACTAGAACTCTGAGTTGGACCATGGAAACGACCCATCAATCTATTTGTGGTTCCCTTGGATGATTTTCAAGTTGTTCTTGGAGTGGAGTTCCTCAAACAGGTGGAAGCAGCACTTATGCCACACATCAACAGTTTGCTTATTCTGGACGAACACTCCCCTTGCATGGTTCCTGTCTCATCAGCCTTGCAGATACTTGGGAAGCAGCTTTCAGCCTTGCAGTTGTACCAAGAAACCAGCAACCATGAAGACTGCGTTGCGTCAACAAGGAATAACCCCTGTCAAGTACCTCACATCGACACTGGAACTAGTTGGGAAGTCGTCACCAGGAAGAAGTCACCCTCAAGACAGTTCCATTTCCAGCGCCAACGCCAATGCCAGCGCCCAAGTCAACGCCACCAGCAGCATCAGCTTTAACACCAACCACATCAGCAGAAGTCGACTTCGTAGCAGAAGCCGCAAGTGCCCGCAACTGGTGGGCCCAACAGAAGAAGACCCAAGGCCGTGTCAAACCTTGCCCACATCTACTACCACAACCACTGGGGAGAGCGAGTGCCACCCAAGCCATCTAGGGACCACATTCACATCATCCCTAAGGCTAGTTCCCGTAGTAGCCCTGTGAGTTACCCTTGGGGAAAAATGCATGGGAATCCACACCTTAATAATCCAAAACACCATTTTGATCCTTACCTGGCCCAAACCTACTCCTTAGCCAAAATGAACCAGCCACTAACATACCTTGAGACTGCCAGGAAATGACTTAGCCATGGGAAACCCCAACAGAATGAGCCAACCCAACCATGCCACCAAAATATACACCTCGGCCTTGGACGACAGCCGGTTCGGGGAGCAGCAGAAGAACCTTCCTTCCGCAGCAGTGACTCTAAGGGACCAACCGAAGCCGATCTCCGAGAACGTAGATCGAATTGAGTGGGGGAGAATGTCACAGGTGACTCATTCGTCGCGCCATCAAGCACCTTCAGTAAGCCATCAGAGTGCTAACCGCATGCCTTCATGGTGTCAACATGTGTCATAGATGGGCTCTGCATGTATTTTGTAAGGGGAACCGCCAATGGCGTTATTGTAATTACTTAGTATGAATTTTCGTCCTTTTGATGTTTCCTATTGTCACTCCCCCAAAAGCTTAACGTACTCTTTGAGGAGAGGTAAGTAGTTGAGTGAACTCATAAGCGTATAAAGGTTAAACACGAGATCCCCTCGATACTATACTGTGTGCTTGTGCTTACCACTGATTAATGCAATACAAATAGCCTTTTGCTAATTCGTGTGCCATCTTGTTGCCTTTTTGTGTGTTTGCTTCGTTTCGTAAGCTTACTCGCCCATTTCGAGTGCCGCACAGGGCCCCAACGATTACCCCCATGACACTAGGGTTGTAGGGATGGACTATCCCAGGTTTTGTAGTAAAGAACAAGCATTATCGAAACCATAGCTGTTGCATCTTTAATTATACACAGCTAAAAAGAACTAAAAGAAAAGAACGTAATTGCTCAAAGATGCTTTTCAAGAAAATGACCGAAAGTACATATTTATTATTGAACTAATTAATTCTTGAACAACTGAGCAGTGACAAAAAATACAAAAAAAAAAAAAACACCCTTCAAACGGCTAACTATCATTGTAACCCTGAAAAGACTATTTATGAAATCAAATTATCGTAGTATGAGTGTATGCTTGATTTGGTTAATCAATTGATGGGCAGCAACAAGTGTGGCAGTAATGTTAGAAATAACGGATTGTCCCCTCAGAAAAAGAATGCTGCCAAGAAAGTGAACAGACACCCCCGCCCCTCCTCGATCGGTTAATTCCCCCTTGTAAAAATGCAGTCACCTCATTATTTCTTCGGCGAGATAGAAAGCCGAAGAAATAAAATCATTATAAAGCTCCAAAACAAAGCAATTTGTCTGTCACTTCTATATCTATTCTTCTGCAAATCACACCTTGATGGACTCGTATTTTTCACCCATACCACCACCTTTCTGCTTTTGGAACTGAATGTAGCGGAGGCTGCTGGCAAAGAAAGCATCTGCAAATGGATCTGTTGTGGTGTCGCTTTGCATCTCATTTGTTATTAGCTCGATTAGACCCTGGATTGCTGCACTAGTAATTTGCGGGTTCCCCTTTTCAAAGAAGTAGAGGTACCTGAAATTACAAAACAGCAGTTTTCATCAGATCTAGTACGACAGAACCATCCAATAGATATCCAAAGAACAATGGCGTCCCACTAAGCTCAGCTTGGCTATATTTACTTGTTCAGTATCTCAACAAAGAGTGTGACAGGTCCGCTGCTACCCCGTGTAACATTAGCCATCTGTTGGGCAGCATTTGCAATCCTTAAAGCACGCTTTAGGCAAAGTAGGACCCTGGAATGGAAAATTGAGAGGGAAAAAAAAAAGAAATTAATGATAGAGCAAACATTAACAGTCTGAGTATGAGGGAGGGAAAACCAACTCAGACCGACTGAAGTAGAGAGCCAAAAACCAAGCCAGATCATGCTTTGCCTCCAGATTGAATAAATGGACATTGGGTTGCAGCTAGAGAGATGAATCAAGTTTAGAGTGGAATGTGGGAAAAAACCCAGGTCTCAAATTAAGACTTGATACCCTGGTACTTTTTTTTTTCATTTTAGAATGCTCATTATTATCTATGCAATACAAGTTACAACCATAAACCATGAGTTGAAAATCCACGTGCATAACCTGTTCCCTCCTCAAGCACTTCACAGAAACACAAAAACCAGCGTGCACACATGCATCCATGAATATGCTACCTGACACACACCTCTGCCCAACCTGGAAGAAATTTCAGCCCAAAATACTCTACTGTATGGTCAAAATAGATCTCTGCTATTGTGGCCAAGTATTATATTAAAATAAATTAAGAGTGCATGGCTATTATCAATGGGAAAGAGGTGCAATGGGCTAATATGGACAGAGAGATCAAAGACATGGTTAATGCAGTCTCACAACATATCCAACCAAAGTCACTAATACCAATGCAACCTTACCCAGTTGAAGACTATCCGCATCACACAAGAACCAAGCATACACATGCAGATTATGGATATGAATGGACACATGCATATTTGTGCTAGAAATAATGTTGAGTTTATAGTTGTGCACCTTTCTCCATCCTTCACACCATCCTGATCATCTACCCAGAAGAGATGTGAACACGCATAAACTGCTTTGCACTGATCAGGCTTCTTTAAAAGCTTTGCCGAGTACTGTTCATGCAAAGATAGCATTAGGTTTTGCTTATGGGATTACAAGGCTCAAGAATTAGATGAATGCTCAGATTATTACCCCTGTAGCCTTGTGTGTTAAAGTATCCCTGTTTTCAACACCAAATACATTCATCCTCTGAAGGGTTCCTATTATTAAGTGTATTGCAGTCACCTGGGCTTTAGAATCCTAAGAAACAAGAAGCACCATGTCAGCAAAAACCAGTAGTATTTAATTGCAGACTCAATGAAACTTACAACTAGGTAATTTTCTAGAAGAGAAAATATAGTTTCTGACTAATTACCGCAATTTCTTCTTCATACAGTATAAATGCTTGAGTGAAGAATTCATATGCAACAGGTTCAAGATCACAGTCATTGGCAGCCTGAATACCAAGAGATCAAGGGCCAACATAAATACACAAGCCTTTAAAATTGACCCTCTGAAGGATTTTATGCACAAGAGTTTGACGTACCTCTGCACATTGCAAGTATAATCTTAATGCTAATTCAGGTGATGGAACAGATGAGAGAGCCTCAATAGTCTGAAACAGAAACACTGATAGTATTAAGCAAGGTGCAAAAGAGACAAAAGAGGATTATCCAATTTACTAGACAAATACATGTTAAAGATAAAATATAATTATAAAATAAGAAAATGTCCTTGAGAGGAGGAACTTGAAGCTAATAGGTTGAACAAGGTGAATAGAAAAATAACATAAAAATCATCAATCCAAAACCACAGCAAATTTACATTTAAAGTCATTGCCTAATGATTGCACCAAGAAATAAAAGGGTTCATGCAAGGAATGATAAACAAGACCACTAGGAGATGGTAGAGATTGGTATTAATATCAAGATCACAAGTTAAATTTAGCCATCTATAGGGATTTAAAATTTTCAATTAAAAGGGAGTAAAACTTGTAAACATTGAAACTATGTCTCAGAAGATTCTTTTATACGAAAATGCAGAAATCACCTGATTCAGGAGCTGAAAAATCTTCTTTGGTGTCGCAGGCACATCTTCTCCAACCACATCCCCATCCTGACCTTGCAACTGTCTAATCAACTGCACAGTATACAATATTCTGAAAATCCTATAAACGGGGGAAGATAACTGAATTACAACTAAGAGTCTAAAGCTAAAGCACCATTAAGAATCATGAATTTTGATATTCTGAGTATTCAAACTAGTACAAAATTTCCTTGTGATGGGCAGAAGTAATCATGGCTTCAAATATCCCTAATTTCCCTAATATTTCCATTTCTATGGGTAGCGACATGAAATTTTACCAGAATTGGCATTTCTCCAATGAACACTACCAGCACTATGTGAAATACAAGAGATAACTTCCATATTTCCATTTCTACTTCCATGGGTAGCGGCATGAAATTTTACTGGAATTGACGTATTCCCAATGAACACTACCAGTACTATGTACAGTATAAGAGATAGTTTTATAACATAAGTTGGTGACAATATTGTAGATATGTGAAGTAACAATGTTATTGTCCACCTAACTTAAATGATTACCAACTTTTAGCTAGCTCAGTATTCATTTAAAAAATGAAGTTAAATATTAGTTTTTTGTTTGTGTAATAGATTATTTGGTTGATCTATTACAACCATTTACACTTTCTATGGGCTGAAATTTTGCTTTAACTCATTCTATCATGAAGCTCTGGATCTTAAGGTTTACAGGGCAACTTCAGAACGTATTCATTTGTCTATAACCTTAGTTTCTTAGCTTTGTTTAATGATTTGGAACAAGATAATTATTTCAAAAGGTGTCTATGCTTTTTTTATCATTTTATATTTTGCATATTTTACAATGTTTCCACCATGTCTATAATTTTTACAATATTTCCATACGATATTTCTGACATGTTTCTTACATTTGGATGACTGACATTTCCACTGACATCGACATTTTAAACCTTGGAAGTAATATCCTTTTTAATCATAAAACCATTAGACATATTGTCAGTGTTGTTTGAGTGACAGTCAAAATGAAGAAGAAAAAATAAACCATACAAAAAAAAGGGTAAATTGCTGAAACCTCCCCTGAAGTTTGGTAACTGCAATCACCTCCCCTGAACTTTTTGACAATCAAAATGTTGATTGGGGGTCATCTAGATGAGCTTAATTTAGGTTTACACATGAGAGTGCAGACACACATGCATGTGTGTGTGTCTGCACATATAGGTTTAATTATGTGTGTCTACACACACACACACACACAAGATATTTAAACATGGAAAGAAGTATTTTACATGGAAAAGAAATTCATTCTAGAAGAATTGGAGAATGCAGAATCTGGAGTTTCCTGTCTTTTGAAGTTTGAGTAGAAATATCTACCAAGACAAGTTGTAGAACCTGTTAAGGGGGCTGGGCATATCAAAATGGTAAGGGGAAAGATAACCCTACAACCAGGAGGTGGTTGTAGAAGTTGCAAGCACTCTAACATGGTGATCACCTGTTGAGAAGGTTGAACCTCAGAAGTTACGCCACTTTTTATGCCTTCAACCCAAACAAGAGGTAATCTAGGGTTTAGTTGCCATATGTCTTACATTGCAATAGTGGTAAGTTCTACAATCACTACTTGGTTGTAGGGTTAGCATTCCCCAAATCATAGTACTACTGCTCTATTAGGACAGACCTTTACCTGTTCTACATGGTGTGAGACTGATGCACTTCGGATTCTAGTTGGTAGAAGTGGAGGGGGATTCATAGGTGCTGATAGGATGTACAAGGAATACAAATATTGTTTTTACAGATGTTGTGTGACTATTATGAAGGCCAGATCTCTTGATGTTGGCAAATATTTTATTCCATTGGAGGAAAAGTGCAGCCAATTGACACTGGCTCTTTAGTCAGAGCCTAGAGGTGTGGACAGGAGTGAGCTGTACTGGGTCAACCCCCCCGCCCTGATTAGACCTATGAGATGGAGGTGCTAAAAAACATCGGTCCATTAGTTTTCAAACCAACAAACCTATACACTTTCAGAACTAGCTGGCATTACCAAAAAGAATCAACCTTTATCACATAAGCTGGAAAAAAAGCAGAACCAAACCTTGAGTGCAGAAAAAATGAGGGGAGGGACAGTGAATGGTAAGCGTTTTGGTCCTCCAGTTAGAATATGCTTCCTCACGGTACATATTATCTGAAATTTAACATAGAAAAGAGTGTCATGATCATTTGAGTATAAGGACACTCGATATAATTAATGGAACCAAAGAGTCAATAGATACACAACCATCAAAAGAAGCAAAACAGATCAATTACCTTTAACATCTCCTCTGGATCATCATTATGCAGCATGTGGATAAGACGTGCAACAGAATTTTGCTCCTCTTTAAAATCCTCCTCATCAAGCTAGTCCCAAAATATAATAATAACAATACTAATATTAATAAAAAATAGTAAACAAGAACAAAATAAAATGACAAATCACACACATGAAATAACATGGAACTAAAAAGTTCTATTTTGAAGAGAAGAATAGAAACAGAAAGTGAAAGCACTAAAATAGTGAAAATAAACAGAAATGTCAAATCATTTTTAACATAATATAAAATTATGAACTGGAAGAATTTGAAATTTGCACCTCCTCGACAAGAGATCCATCCAAATCTTTAATAAGCCCCTTTATCAATTGAAACAGGGCTTCAACCTACAGAATAGTCAACTCAACAGTATTAAAGACTGACAACATTTCCACCATGCCACCAGTGGGGGGAGGGGGGGTAAAACTAATGTGGAACAGACCTTATCATCAGTTGAAATGTAAGTGTTGTTTTTCATTATGCTTTGAATAATAACAACAGCCATCACTTTATTTGTTGCGTTATCAAGGTGATCCATCACTAGCGGGTAGTTAGAAAGATTCAGTGCAGTCACTATATCATTGTATTTCTCCAATGGTGCACTCAGGAGTGCAACAATTTGTTTTGTTGCTTTGGCATCTTCAATTCTTGCTTTACCAGAAAGTTTCTTCACACATGCTCCCTATAGAAAACAACATAAATAGTGACCATTATTGACATTACCTCCACAACTCTACCATGTAGAAAAATTGTAACATGTACAAAATGATGCAACTAAGAAAGGCATTATACCAGAACTTGGTCTACGTAATCAAGACGATCTGGATGGACACGAAGAGTAAATGTCAGGAGAGACACATATAAAGTTACAGCTCCAACTACCGGCATGTCAACCTGTGCTTCAATCACCTGTTGTAGAAATGCAGACAATTGAATTTATAAATGTACTTTTGAAAAGGAAACAAAACAGAAAACATACACAGGCCAAACCCTCTGATTGATAAGAAGAGTCCCCCCATATTCCCCAGTTATACAAATGAAGAAAAGGAAATAAAAACAGAAATGTTTGACCCATCGACATGAATGAATAGGTTGCAAGATTCTTGTATTTTAAACTGCAAGAGAGAAACAAACAGGATTCAAGCCCAAAAAGCATCAATTCTAACAGGATTTCAATTCTGGAAGGCACATTAAGGGGCCGTTTGATAACAGCTGAAGTGGCTGAACTGAAAAGATTATTGCTATGTCTTTTAGTAGATAAGATTTTGAGGTTGTGAGCTCCTTGATGGCTGAAGCTGAAGTTGGGTAGACAACTATACTTTTGAATATTTTATTATCTAATTGTTTTATTCACTAAAAGACAAAAGTAATAAGTCTTCAGTTTAGCAACTTCAGCTGTTATCAAACAGCCCCCAAGGCAGATATCAACTTAAAGGATGTTCAAGTGCAATGAGATATGAGAGGGTCCAGAATTAGCATAATTCCCTGTCTTTGAAAGTAGTTTGTAGGTTTCTTCTTGAAGAACCCTAAACAGAAAATATTTTTAGGGCCCAACTATTTGTATACAGTGTAGAGTGTAGACAAATATAAACAACACAAAGAACTATTGCCAGCATGACACCAATCCCCCTCCAAAAAAGTTAAAGCATTTTCTATCAGTATTTGATGAGAACCTCATTGAGTCAGATGCAATAATCATAGAATACAAAGAGAAGATAAGAACACAAGTAAAGAGGCTCATTACCCTCTCCCATCTCTGAAAAGAAAGCTAGAACAAATGCTACTCTCTCCAAAACATACAAACAGTCGAAAGGATGAGAGAACTTCACTAAAGAGGAATTATTTATCCATAGGTGGGAGAATAACCCTGATTAGAGCAACTCTAGCAAACCTACCAGTCTAATTCCTATCCACCTTCAGGATTCCAGCTAGAATAGCATGACAGTTAGAAAAACTTATGAGAGATTTTCTCTGGGAACCTGGGGATGAAAAAAGGGATCTCCTAGTAAAGTAGGAACAAGTCAACAAAACAAAGGAAAAGGAAGGTCTATGATTGGGAAATTTATTTCATAAAAATACTTACTCTATTAGGAAAGTGGCTTTGGAGGTTTACATTGGAAAGAGCTAGGCTGTGGCACAAGGTTATAGAAAGCATTCATAGGCTGAAGAACAATGGATGGGATGCAAAGGTAGCTCCCACATCATCCTCGAGCTCTCCATGAAAAGCAATACAAGAGGTATATCCAATCTTTTTTAATCTCATTAGATTTGATGTGGAATGTGGTTCTAGGGTGCTCTTTTGGGAAGATCTTTGGTTGGATGATAGTCCTTTTTGTTCTCTTTTCCCTAAGTTTAATTCAGTTTCTAACTACAACATACAATCTATATCAAATTGTCACTTTTTCTCACTCTAAACTAAGTTGGGATTTTGGTTTCAGAAGGGGTTTGAGAGATAATAAGCAAGTCCCTTACTTGTTTGCTTGGCTTAAGTCAACCTTCTTAGTTCAATCTTTGGAGGACACTAGAGTTTGGTCTACTTCATTTGATGGCACCTTCACTTGTGCTTCTTTTTTTAATACTACCATGCAAACTCCTGTTACAGGAGAGAATTTACCAATGAAAGAAATTTGGAGCAAGCCCATTGCACCAAAATTCAAGCTTTGTGCTGGGAGGTTTTTCTTGGAAAGGTGAACGCCTATAACATGCTTCAAAAGAGGAGGCTTAATAAATGCCTCTCCCCTCATATGTGCTTCTTTGCTTTGCAGATGGTGAATCCCTTCCCCATTTATTGATTTATTGCCCTTTTGTGCTCTTTGTTTGGAAGTCTTTTTGTTCTCTCTTTGGTTGCAAGTGGAGTACTCCCCAAGATGTAGTAAGCTTCTTCAACCCAGTGTTTTAAAAGCGCAAGGTGCAAAAAAGGTGCAAGGGTCAATTTGCGTCTGAGGCACAAGGCGCAAGGCAAGGTGCAAAAAATAAAAAAAAAATGCCAAAAAAATCAAAAAATTATTAAACATAATATTAATAAAAATATAAACTTATATTTTAAAATAAATGTTTTAAAAAACCTATTATCTAAAATTAAAATACATAAATATAAAATGTAAAGCACATTCAAATGAGAATTTAAAAATAAAATCAAATATATAAAACATCTTCAAGCATATAAAACCCACAACCTCTTTTTTTTCACTTGCATTACTTCATGTAGCAAATGTGATTTTAACATATTACATTCCTGATTCTACGAGCTGCCTTTGTGCCACGCCCCTCGAGGCAAGTCCAAACAAGTTCATGTTACGTCTTAAAATGCGCCTAGGACCTGGGCGAAGCACCTACCCTAAAATGTGTCTCGCCTGTGTGCCTAGGCATGCCTTTTAAATCACTGCTTCAACCCAAACTTTCTAAGACAGCCAACAAAAAGAGGAAGAGTTACGTGGAAATCAATTAGGGCAGCGGTGGTGTGGACTATTTGGGAGGAAAGGAATGCAAGAATATTCAACAAGAAGTTACCTTCAAATGAAGAACTAGTAGAGGCCATAAGGATTAAAAGATGCACATTGGGTAAAAACACTTGAGCTCTTTCAAAGTTCCTTGATTACTGATATATTAAAAGCATGGAATAAAGTGACACACTCTTCTGAGAAGAAAGAAATAAAGGTGGAGTGGAAGCCCCCAGCAGCTCTTAACAAAATCAAATGATTAATTTACGAATGATAGAAAATTTATTAGACTAGAAGAAAAATCACAAGGTTACAGAGTACATCCAGGAGTGGCGCGAGATGCAGCCCCAACTGAAAACAATATTACAACTAGCCCAAAATAAATCAGATCTATGCACCCCACGTTTTGCAAAAAAATCAGCCATCTCAGAAGCTGAACGCCTTTCCCATTGAACTGAGAATACCATATCTCTGACCAGCCACTTAAATCTTTTCATGTACTCTTTATATTTCCAAAATCAAGATGAATTTTGATGGGAGCTCTATAGGAAACCTAGGATTGGCAGGCATTGGTGGTGCGTTTAGAGATTCCTCCAGCAAAATATTGGCTATGTATTCAAGACCTTAAGGGGAAGGTAATTCATTAAGGCTGAACTATTATATTAGCTCTGCTACAGGGGTTAAAACTTGCCAAGCAAGCAGATATTAAGAACTTGGAGGTAGGAGACTCAAAACTAGTGATATCATGGACTGATACAAGGGGTAATGCTCCTTGGATTTATGGGCATCCCCTAACAGATATTGAAAGTCTAGCAAGGGAACTCAATGCACCTTTATGTGGATCAGGAGAACTGCAAATGGGATGGCTGATTCATTAGCCAAACAGGGAGTTCATAGGCAGCAGCTTTTCTAGGCTTTATTGTAACACTTTGTGGTGCAATGTCTGCTCTCTATTTTCTGTAATTCTGTAACTGTTTCTCTTAATTGAATAAAATTCTTCTTTGCCGATAAAAAAAAAGATTATACCACTAGATTCCCACCTCCCTCTGTCATTTAAGCACGAGTGTCTAGCTATACTGGACAAGGCTAAATGCCCTGGAGAGATCATGGTGTTCATACCAT